ATTCGAGTAATAAATAGAGTCCGAGTTCCGGAATATGGCGAGAACAAGTCGATACACTAGCTAATTAAATTATAATTATTATAATTATACAGATGTCCTTTGACGTAGCCAGTCTTAATTAGAGCGAAAATGTTTGAGTAATCGGGCAAGGTACGTCGTAAATTAATGTTAATTCATTTCGTAGATGATGGAGACATGCTCCCAAAGAGAGCATCTCGATTTAAATAATTTCATAGTATGTAATATTAAATTTTGATCGAATCAACGTGTGTAGCGACGCGAGAGCTTGCAGAGAGAAATATTCTAACTCGGATACTTAGGTGAGATTAAACGACAGTAATTAGCGGATAGTTGCTAAACAGGTCACGATAGCCGAAAGAAACAAGATAAAATAAATTTGTATACCGTACAACGAACAATGAATGGTAGTTCCATTAACCCTTCCTCTTTTATACAAATCGCAAATATTGAAGCTCGCTAAAATATTAACCCATAGGGTCAAACTTTCATTGACTTACTAATTGTTTGAAATGTAATCATTTGAGTTATAGTTGAAATCTATACAAAATATCCTATTTACGTTCGAAAATCAATCGATCGAAAGGTGGGTGAAACATGCTGAGCAACGAATCTAAAAATGCGTAAAAATGACGTTGTGGTTAAGATTGAAAACAAACACCGATCGATGCAACGGCAAGCATTGCGATCGATCGTTTATTCTCGAAACGGTGAGTGAGCCGCATTAGCGTCGAATAATTAAATCGTCGCGCGCCAATAACCATCGCTTATACCCGCTAATAATTATCACGGCCCGTTGCCGCGTTTCATAACTTGTCGTTAATCGTCGCGGAACGAAATATTCCGTCGATCGAGCTACGAAATCCTTTGTCGACGTTTGAACGCGCTAAAGTTCCAACGGGACGGGGAAGAGGACAGTGCGCATTGTTAAAAATAATGAATGATCGAATAACGACGATTCATTACTCGTGCAACGAACTCGTGATATATAATCGAGGTCAAGTGTGAACGTACATTTTGTAATTCTGTCCTTTGTTTACTGCGTCCGGGAATGAAGTCGAAAATTATTATGCGATAAATATAGGATAGGGAATTGTTTCAACGCGGGATTAATTTATTAAATGATCGATAAAAATGTCGATGATATCCTAGATTAATTAAAGGATAAGGAATAATTTACTGTTCCGGGGTTTTACAATAATTTTTCGAGAGAAAAGCGAGCGGAGAACGATTTCGCAATTTTTCCGTAATTAGGACGCTGACTGACAGAGGAGGGTCAAAGGTCGATAACCGACGAATTAAATCGCGCCGAGTCGGTTCATGTCGATTTCGAATCGAGTCGCGAGGTGTCGTGTCAAATTAAATCGCGTCAACGCCATTACCTAACCTAACCGAACTTCTAAGACCATCATTTCGTTAAAGTACCATTTCACACGACGAATAGCTAAATAGCGTTATTTACTCAGCCGTTCAGCGTTCGAATCCGTTGTAAAAATAAATTTGATTCCACAATTTTCACCCTTTACGCAGCACGATTTTACAAGCAGTTCCTGCTCGTCGATGTATCTGAACGAAACCGGTAGGTATCTAGTCGAGAGCAGATCGTAAAACTAATTCTAGGCGAGGCGTGCCAAATAATCTGGACCGTGTCGTAACTCAAACACCGTGAACGCGAGTTTGAGTTACGACGCGTCCGGGGCCGGCCAGAAACGATTTTTTTCCCTTCGAAAATTTGATTGCCAACGTGCGTGTATCGCGCATGAACGCCGGATGCTCGTCATCCGGGATACAGATTATACGTTTGAGTTATCGCCCACCCGCTATTTCGACATTTTCGTGCAAACGGGTTGCTCGAATCTTTTAAACATAGAGTTGTCCGAATCACCGATGCAGCCAATATTTTTTAATAGATTTTGCGCCTGTTAAAACTGAAAATAGAACACCTCTATTAATACGACCATATTGTCAAATGCGTGATTTTAATCTTAAATTAGGCCAGCAACTTTTAGGCGAATCTCTTAAATTCTAATTAGACACGTTAACCGAGGCCACCGTTTCTGTTTCGAAGCTCTGCTGAAAATTTTATAAATTTCTATGCAACGCGAAGTTTCAAATTTAGCCGGGATTATGTACGTTATTCCGAGCTCGATGGTCGCTGTAGTCAAGGAATGCGACAGATAAGATATAAAAATAACCGATGGAATTTGGAGGAGACTATCTGGATTCGGAACTAATCACACCGATGTAACTCGAAGATAATAAATGAGATTCAAAAGCAACCGTCGCGGCCCAAATGTCACGAGACCGGAAACATGCAAGTTATCCGCGTTTGTCCCAACGGTCATGGTTCGGTTTCTACTTCAGGCAGACCATAAAACGAACGTCATTCATCGGTGAATTGGTTGGTGATTGCAGTGGCAGAGAGGAGAACCGAGTCGCGTTTACTTCACTGCGTTTCTCGTTCGAATACTGCGACCGCCACTTTCGTTAACTTAATTAGACCCTAATGCTAAATTAACGGTTCCTTTTTTCGCGTTGTTGTCACAAAAGGGATAAAGTCCCTTCCGAAATAGAAGAATGATCTTATTATTAGAATTACATAACCTACCAAAAAGTATGAGATCACTTCTCGGTAAAGGCACGAAACGAAATGTCTGTGAAAATAATTGTACGTGGAAATGATAATGTTAGGTGGTCTCATACTTTTGATCGGCGATGAGTTTGACAGGTAAATGCGCGCGAAACGTTGGATTTCTTGATCATTTTCACATTAGACAGAAACGTTCCGAGGTTATTACCAATTATAGATAAATCAGTGGGTGAAAACTGGTTAAAGTTACAGCTTGTTCAAAGTTTCTTCTTGTTATTAAAAAGTTCTTCGTCCAGCTGCTGCCAAAAATAAATAATTTTCTCGGCAATCTTATGAAAAATTCAACGTTTCGTGCGAATCAACCTAACAGTAACGCGTGTAGGTGAATCGATCCTCGTGTCTTCGCGAGGTTCGATAGAGCAGCAGATGTGTCGAACTAAAATATAGGAATCTTCGGAAGCAATTCCTCTTTCGAGGTTGTTGAATTTTGGTCAGCCAAGGGTTGTTAAACTTTCGAACCAGTATGACGTCAGTCACGAAATTGCTGTAATTTAATCGCGCCTCGCGAAATCATGATGATCGTTATACGTTTAACACATTGACTGTCACGGTTAAATCAAACACACTTGGTACGACGCGCCATAACATTAAGAGATAATCGATCGTTCAATTTGCTACTTCGAATCGTTAACGCAATTTCACCGATCGCGATAAATTAAGGAGCGAACAATAAAGGAATATAAATGATTGCGAAGTATTGAAAATTAAGTTAAATTTAATACTTTCGTATCTGGCAATAAATTGAAATATTAACTAAATTGAACGGATCGATTATGCAAAGTGGTTGACCACCTCGTGTCAGTGAACGTGCTAAAACTCCGTTAAACGAGGGTAATTTACCCTCGAAGGTTTAAAACGGTTTAAAAACAGCCTTCAAAAATATCTGTTCTCACCGTTCGATGCCATCGCGTAGTCTATAATCCCGTACCTGTGTATTTACATGCACGAGTCGATTTATAAATACATATATATATATATTGTGTATATATATATAATTATCGCTTGTGTACGTGTGGGTGTTTGTGTGGTACGAATTTATACATATACATACGTATTATGTTCAACAGTTCTCTGTACATCAGGTTAAACACCAGCTCGTAGTTTCGCACAGTTCGCCAGTCTTAAACACCGAGTTAACGTTATTATCACTACGCCAGAATTACCTACAGCCTTTCGTCGGAACTTCGCAGACCCGATGGAGTCCAGTAACGGTCTGAAATCGACGAACGGTAAACTTCAATAACGATACAATTGGTTAGCCTAGAAGATAAACCGACGGGGGTGGGGCACGAGTAGAGAATGGGGCGAGAGGAGCGACGGGGGTTGCGTATGAGCTTGAGCAGATATTCGACGAGTCACAATAGTACAATAGTAGTTTTTCTGCTTTCTCCGTTTTGCACTTTGCACTCGTGTTATAGTCGATCGCGCGTTTATTTATCATCAGAAATTGTACCCTTTTTAGAAAATGAGAGATTCTTCTAACTTAAAACAAACACTCTTACACTCGACATTTTATTTTGTACACTCTCGTTCTCGCGGACTCGAGGACCACTACGTTTTGTCCACTCGAGCGTCAAACATCTCCGCGTCGTGCTCGGAGTCGTCGAGAGATCACGAACAATTTGCTCTAAAAGGCAAAATTCGATTCTTCCATTATTTCTCCTTTCGGCGAGTTCCATTGTATCGCGAAGAGACAGGAGACGAGCGAACAGAGTAGGAGGCTGACGCCGAGAAAATTCGGATGCAGTCGCGATCGAACTTCGGATCATCCGCTTGTTTCGGTTCCGTAGAAGCGCTACCCTCTTCGTTGTCGGCGTTCCACGAACGAACGAATTTCTCTAGAAATTTTTCCGAATAGCAAAGCCTAGCCCGAATGATCGTGAAATAGGAAGACGAGAGACTCCTGTTTCCTCTGCGCGACGAATTCGAGCAGAATTCGATTAACGACGTCGGTCCTTCGAACGCGGAGGTCTGGCACTGACAAGAAATTATTCCGAGAAACCTCGCACCTGATTAATCCATTACACACGGACCGCTTTTGTTCCGGTTCAACCGGCTCGACGTCTGACATCTATTCTCCGGGATGACTTCGGCGACGGTTCTCCTTCCCTTGTTCCCCGATTTCTTGTTCATCCAATCGTGTCCGTAGCTTGTTTTCCATCAACTAATTCGCCCGAGTGCGCGCTCGATCGATCTCGACGAACGTCGTGCGTACTATCAGGAACGACCATCGACTTTGGGTATCTACCGTCCCTGCCAAAACGTCGGATATCCTGGATCGAGCTCGACTCGCAGCTAGAATCGTGCACCGATTACCCATCGAGGCCCTGAGAATTCGTCGAACCTTCGATAGTCGATTTTTAGACGTCCATCGCGTCGCCGACGTATCCCTCGTCCGGACTTTCGGGATGGTGAGGAGGTTGCAGGTCCTCCGCCCTGGCTGCGGCCGCGGCAGCAGCTTCTCGAGCAGTTTTGCTCAGCAGAGATCTGGGAGAGAGGGGTGTCGTCTCGCCACGGTACGCGGCCGGAGGAGACGGAATGAACGGCACCTCCGGGAACACCGCCACCGGTGACACCGGAGACACGGGCAGTTGCTGTTGGATCGGTTGCTCGACGGGTTGAATCGACGGCTGCTGTTGCGCAGGGTACGGATATCCCTCGGCAGTGTACCTGGCATCGGTCCTGGGTAATACGGGGTCGTATCCCGGAGATCTGGCGAGGAACTCCGCCTCCCTGGAGTACCTGGATGGCGGGGCAACCGCAGAACCCTCGACGGGCATCCTCTGCCTCAGTCGAGGCAACGTGCTCGCGGCGCTGAACGGTATCTTGGGTAAACCGAAGTTTAGAGGGTAACCGTCTTGATCCAGATAGCTCAGCTGGGGTATATTCGGTGGACGCAGATCGGGTTGAAGGGGGTACCCGGAATCGTATTCCAGGATCTGTCGCTCTCCTGGCTGATGACGGTACAGTTGACCGTAACCCACATCCGTCGTCTCCGGGACCTCGTTGATCAGATCAGGCTCTGTCAGGTACTTCGAGACTGGACTGCAGTAAGGCTCCTCCAAATTTCTATGCTCTCTGCGTTCCAACGTCGCGGCTCTGTTCATTTCCCTCTCGGTGTACGAGACGATCTGCTGATGCTCCAGACCGATCAAGCTTCCGTTGCCCTTCCTACAGGGAAGACTAGTGGCGGTGTCCTTGGTGATGGGCATCACGGACTTGTTCTGCGACACCAGAGCCTTGGAGTTTCGTTTGCGATCTCGACGTCGCTTGCGCATGCAGAATACGATACTGCCTATCAGTGATCCCAGGGCGAACAGGGTGCCTACCAGAGCACCTGCCGCTATCGCAACCACGTATCCCGATCTCGAGTGATCGCTCGGTGGTTCCACGGTTATTTTCTCCTGGAACTGCACTCGCAGAGAAAGGTTCGCTTCCGCGGAACCTGCACCGTTCTCGGCTATGCAAGTGTACGTGCCCTCGTTTATCGTCTCCACGGAGTAGAGCAGCAAGGTGCTGCTCATGTTGGTTCCGCCGCGTTGTCTGTACACGTACCTGGAACAGAGGAGGATCGTGGGACTACATCGAACGTTTCTTGATCTTTGACATTTTCTTAACGGGAATCCTCGATCGGATACAACGCGTTTGTTCGCGTAAAAAGAACAAGGTCATGGGTAGAATCGAGCGACGCGAGTTTTGTCCCTCTACCTTTCTACTAGGCATCTTCCAGTGTTACCATCGTTTCTTCGCCGTTTTCTTTGCAATTGCAACGCGAGGAAATTACGGTCGAACCTCGTAAAAGGAAATTCTCAGTTTCTCCGAAAACGCGCTTTAGGAATTTAGCAGAGTACGAAATATTCAACGCGACGCGAGAGAACGACTGCGAGAATCATGCACCACCGAAAGAGCGGTGCCCGAACAAAAATGAACTTGTAACAACATTCTAGCAATTTATCGCGTTTCCTTCGGCGCTCGTGCGCCAGATAGATTATCAACGAGGCAGAAGTTTCGTTCGTTGTCGCGATAACCGTCGAAAGAATTTCGCTCAAAAAACCGTTGAAATTTTGTTCCTCGTGAACTCACAAGGGACATCACCAAGGTGTCACACGCCGATTTTAATGAAATTGATATATGTTGTAGCTTTTTAAAAATCATTTGACACGTATTTTTTTATATCTGCGGACATCCATGTTGAGGGGGTGAAAATAGCCCTCAAAGTTCGGGGTTGAAAACACATTTTCTTTAATATCTCGGAAACTAGAGGGTGCAGGAAGGTGAATTTTTTTTTAAATTGTGTAGTTTTAAGTCAGGAATTTAGTTAGTGACAACAATTTCGGGAGAAATTATTTATTTAAATAATATATTAAAAAATTGCACTTTTTTTTCAATTTTTCACTCTAAATGCAGTTCGATTTTTTTGCAGCTTTGTATACTAAAAA